AATACACAATAGAAACTTAAATGTATGCTGTAGTTTCGGGTTCAGGGAGACTGGCGATGGAATGAGGCGTCATTGGTGATATACGATGGGACAGACTCGGAACGGATTGCAGAACACCAACGCTCCTCATACTGTATGCATATATAGCGACGTTTCATCATCAGACTGATCGACGCGGATGTGCGAAAGCGCTGTGAGATGTGTGTCAACGAGAAAGATCTTAACTTCAAATAACGTGCTAGCAACAGGCAACATGTCGCATGGCACCCTGAGGCACAACTACCGCGAGGAAAACGTGCCTATAGCCCGACTCCGCTTGTCTCCAAAGAAGTGCGCGTTAAAACACAGCAGTCTGCTCAATCCCGCCGCTTCATACCGGACTCAACAACCGGAGCGACGTGTAGAATGGTGTAACTGAGGACTTGGGGTTCTATTCTTGTATTTATTTACTTGGGCTGGCGTCGTTGTCGGGGCTGCGGGGAGTATGGGCTGGGAGGTGGTGGAGCGGGTGAGCCGGCATGAGGAGCATGACAATGATGTTCGAGGATTGTGATCTTTGCCGACGGGTTGTCACGGGTCTATGCAGGACGGCTCACCAGCTGGCGTCCCGCTCGAGGTGTATGATGCTTTTAGGTGAGGGATAAACAAACGCGGCCGTGCCGCATCGTCCATGGGTTAGGGATGTGGAGAGGTGGGACGGACGGACGGACAGTGCATGACGGGTGACGAGGGAGGGGTGGAGGCACCTTAGATCAAGCAGACTAAAAAAAAAGGAGACTCTTACATCCATGGTCAGCGGCAGCGAGAGCAGTCAATACTACAAATGTTCGGTGGTTCTCAATCGCCTAGAGAGTAGTGGAATTGTCTCCCCAGTAGAGAAAAATATCATGAAGCAGAATAAAAGAGAAGGTTAGGAACATGGCTATGATGGTGGTTTACCTCTCGAGACGGGAACCAACGTTAGATTGACATTTCACCCCGATAACTGCAAGTAGACGTGGAGAAAGCAACGTGTACACAAGGCCCTTCCATGGTCCAAAGCTCTGATAATATCTGTTGATTCTGCGCTCGGAGAGGGGTGTCCACCTTTATGATGTAACTGTGTCGCGATAACAGACTCAATACTAGAAAACTGAAAAATGCACTTACCAGCCTTTTGTGCTTATTTGCTGCCGATGGATGGAGAACACACTATGCGTACCATTCTACATGGCTATATGCGTGCATCTCTTCATTGATTCGTCTCGGGTGAGTCTGGATTTCCTATTTCTAGCCATACGACCCCATAAAAGTCATTAGGCAATCTAGAAAATCGCAGATCGTTATCAAGTTTGAATTTATTCGTGCAGAAATAAAGGCGGCCTTCTATGATGCCCTGAAACAAATGGAACCTTTGGAGTAAGAATCGGTGAAAATGCCTTATAGAACATTGGCGCATTCATCAGAGGGTTAAGAGGCGTTAAATTGTCGATGGTGGTAGCGGAAAGAGGAATGTATCCGGGGTTTAAATCATCGTGCATTGGCTTGCGTGGAGAACCATTCAAGAGAATACCAATACCTTTGCGCGCTGTTTTCTTACTCAGAAATGCTCCTGCCTTGGTCACACCTAACAGCTGGACCAGAGGAATCGAAAGGCTATGCCGTTCACCCAATCGCCAGTGGGATTTTTGGAGGTTTTAACGCGACTAAGGAAAGCAGCGGTTGTCGCAACGTGTAGGAAAATCAAAGTTTCTTAGATAGGTAGGTAGATTGTGCCCCCATTGTCTAATGCTCCTTCGAATTCTGGCTTGACTTGAACGCCGAATTGCCCGGGCGCCCCAGGCCGAGGTCAAGGCCGGACTCCGCTAAACGACCCTAAGCAAGGACCGAAAGGTAAAGGAAACGCAGAGCAAAAGTAAACGTCAAAGCATAGACATGAACAAGAGATTAGAATAAAGGTCCCGCTATGACCGCGCGCTCCTAAAATTGATGACCCGGCCGTGACGAGTGAGTGTGGAACCGCTGGCCTCCGCCTCCAAACCCGCCCGTATCAAACCCGCCCCCGAAGTGGAAACCGCCCCCGCCCCCACCGAACGAGGCAAAGATATCTGCGAGGTCAGCCTGGTTCATTCCACCCATGCCACCCATGCCCTCGTCATCGTCCTCACCCGCATCGTACCGTGCACGTTTTTGTGGGTCCGAGAGCACGTTGTACGCCTCCGAGGCAAGTTTAAATTTCTCTTCGTCACCACCCTACGTCCCCCATGTCAACAGCGCATCTCCGCATTGCAAAGAGAACACGGCAATATACCTTATCTGGGTGATGCAGTAAGCTCTGTTTACGATACGCTTTCTTAATATCGGAGTCCGCGCAATCCTTTGGTATACCTACATATCAAAACCAAAACGTCAGTCATACCCACCACGGTCTGACAAGAATGAAAAGCATTGCCTAAGATCTTGTAATAATCTTTCGATTTGCTTCGCTTCAGCGCAACCTCCGCGTCTTTGAGCTCCTGCTTGAGCGCGCGTTCCTCCGTTTGGCTGCCATCAATCCGGACTTGCTCTAGCGACGCCTTAAAGTCGTTTACTGCCGACTGGTAGTCTTCTAGCACCATTTGTATACGTGCGCGCGTACGCAGCGCTTTGTATGACGTTGCGACTAGCTCCAGCGACGCATTCGTATCAGCCAGTGCTTCCTCGCGTCGCTCCAGCTATCCAATGTACCCAGTCGAAAGAGCGCAGAAGAATGTAGGGCAAATTTCTTACCTTCAACAGCGCTGTTGCACGATTAGACAGAAGCGTTGCACGAATCGACCCTCCGCTACCCTCTTCTTCTCGACTCTCAACCACATCCAGCGCCGCGGTGTATTTCTCAACAGCCTCTGTGTGCTTACCCGCCTTGAACAAGGTATTACCTTCCTCCTTCAGCCGCTCGACATCCTTTATCCGCCGCATGAGCTTCCGCGCACGTGTGTGGTCCGGATCGTACGCGAGCGCCTGCTGCACGTGCTGTAATGCCGCAGGTAGCCTAGAGGAGAGGAACATTACGAGACCGCGTAGGCACAACACGTCCGGCGACTTTTTGTCTATTTGGAAGGCCTCACTGCAAGCAATAGAGAAACCAAGCCCTTCAGACCCATATACCATTTCGGGGAAGATAGTACGCACTTCGCTGCAGTCATCGCCTGCTCCAACTTTCCTCGTGCGAGCTCGAGCTCAATCCGCCAGCACCGCCATTCGATTGGCTCGCTGCCCTCGCACTCCTTCGCAGCCTGGTCTAGCGCCAGCCGTGCATGCGCCCAATCGCGCTTCGTCCGCGCCGCCTCGAAGCGTGATAGGTGTATCTCCATGCGCAGTGCTGCACGCTCTACCTCGCGTGCTGCCACATTGCCACTCTCCGCTGATAGTGCCGCACGGACGGCGGATAGCGCAGGGTTAGGCGAGCCAAGGGCGAGGTGGCACTTGGCGAGACGGACGAGTGTTTTGGGGACGGGGTGTGCGGCTTGAAGGGCCGCGGCATTTTGGCAGTCGACGAGGGCGGGACGGAAGAATTTGAGGGCCATGTTGCATGCGGCGCGGTTGGTAAGATACGTGGGTTCGGTTGGCCGTAACGCTACAGCACGGTCAGGCCACCAGACGTTGAGAGTAGATAGGGGTGCGCAACGCAGAGGTTGCTACTCACCAATCGCTTTTGTGTAAAAATCGATAGCCTCTTCGAATCTTTTGGCTTTGAAGGCTGTGTTTCCTTGCTCCTTCAGCTGGTCAGCTTGTAGGTTAGGATCCACGTCCATCTGCATAGACTCTTTCTCCTTCTCCTTCTCCTTCAGCGGCGGTGTAAGAGACGGTGGCGGGACCTCAGCTGGTGAGTCTATTGGGTTGCCACTACACCACATAAAAAGAGCCACAAATCAAAACTGTCAGGGTGCATGCAGCGGCAGAGGCCTCACTTTGGAGCACCATTGGCCTCAGTGATTTTCTTTTTCTGCGCCTTGGTTTTCTTGGATGGCATCGTCTGCCGCGTGAGGCTTACAACTGGAAGAGGCTTAGGGGAGTCTTTGTACAGTGATGGTCACAAGTGTGACACGGTGTTTACGTTCTCTTCGACCCTTAAGTATCTCAAAGCGTTCGCGTTATCCTAAGAGCTTAGACTGATAAGCGCAAGCATTAAAGTGCTTAAAATATTCTGATTCCCACAGTCACAACTGCTCCCCCTAAATCACACCAGCGCTTTTGCTCTCGAATATTCATTGACTGGCACAAAAACGAGTTAGGTAGGTGTCAGAATGGTGAGCTGGATCCCGTATGGTCATCCAACCGCCCAGCTGATTTACGAGGAGCACAATTGTTGATCACCAATCATTCCTTCAAAGTTCATTAACGTTCATTTCGAACAGCCCCTTTGAAAATTTAAATTAAGTCCTTTGTTTTCTTATATTATCTTGTTCTAAATTTCTCATTCTTTTACACTGGCTCCTCTCTCAATGAGTCTGCCGGATTCTCATCGCGTTCGTGGACTCTGTCACTGAAATTTACCATCTCCTAGGCACATTTATTGCGAGGGATCTGTCGCGTGCAGCCTCCATCACATCATCGTGACTCAGCCGCATACCTGTTTTAAAAGACCCAGATGGACATATGCTGACAATGACGTACTGGTCAGTACATTTACGTGGCATATATCTCACACAAATTCTAAGACTCTTGCCTACAATCTAGCCGTAAGAGCAGTACGGTATACCTCCTATCAATATTGCTACCTACGAATTGTCCTCGCGCAGACTTCTAACTTAAAGTATGAGGAATAACTCATCTTTCCACGTTGGATGGAGTAAAACAGCACTCTTTAGATAGCAAAAAAACACTACAATACAATTATTAACAAAAGCGTTATGTGATATATTGGAACGTAGCTAAGTGACGGCATGGGGATGATAGAAGGATTCAGAGACGGACGAAAAGGTTGAATTATTCCTTAAAAGCCATCATAAAGAAAGCTGACGGTATAAAGTAACACACAATGGCCAAAGTGGGGGTCGAACCCAAGACCTTCGAGTTATTAGCTCGACGCTCTAACCAACTGAGCTATTCGGCCAATAATAATTTGACGGTGATATTAATTTACATAAGTTAATCGGAGCGTCCATGTTGTCTCCAAGAGCGAAGGTTCACACAGCTGATCCCACGCAGCCCTTCTCGTGATGTATGTGCTGGCGGGTGCAGCTGGCCGACCTATACATACTTGCCCATTAGTGTCCATGTTTGGCGGGTGAAGGATCTCCAGCTACGCTGATTGCGTATCTCGTGTAATGTTGAACTTTTAAATTCAGGCGGAACGTCACCCATGTAAGAAATCGGCTCACTAAAATGATCATCAGCAGTGTTCCGGGCCATCCCGAGTAGTGATATTGTATGTTATTCAGTTCGTCGATTCTGCCATGGTCAAAGAGCATGAGAGATTATCGATTACGGTTCTACACCCTGGAATATGGAAAGCCTAACTATCACCGAGTAATTTGATCGTTATGTAAGCAGTCTGGCTGCGTTAGGCATGTCGGCGGCGAAGGTAGGACCCCACGGACCGTAATACTGACCTCCGTTATAGTAGTTGTATTATGTAATGCATGCACCATCTGGGTGCCTCCACTCCGGAGTGCAATAATTCATTCATTTCTGCATATAAT